GAATTTTGAACTCGTGATTTTGAAAGATCTCTTTGTAGGGCGAAGTGAGGGTACCCTTGAAAGCCCTCTAATAATGCACGAACATGAAGCTTTTACTAAGCAGAGTAAGATCAGTAGTGACCAGCTTCGGTGATAGCCCTCCACTGTTTTTGAGTAGAGTTAAAAGCACTGACAGGCTACAACTTTGGTTTGGGCTCCTACTTCTATGTGGGCTGTGACTTGGATCTTCAGACTCAGTTTGAGTCCTCACCCCTGATGCTTTGTGTTGATGTGAAACAAAGTGCACCTCATGTCCTGAAAATGCCAATCGGATTTTCCTTTGGGAAAAGTTAGGCCTTCAGAGGTTTAGCTCATTCCACCCTTTGCCATCTCCTTGCCTCTCCAAGCATGTAATTATGGTTTACATTAATTATCTCTGGATGATGTCTAAAGAAATTGTTTTCAAGAATGATTGCTTTATCTATAAAAACTATAGCAAAAAACTCTGTTGTAGGGAATTCTCAAGGGCCCAAAGAATCTCCTCAGAATAATACTTTCTACCCTCATTTACTCTGGCAACATAGAACATTTTACCCATTTCCAACTATTGAAAGACTTGCTGTCTGTGATCAGATGAACTGTAGTAATGCACGTGGTGAAAAGAATTACAATTCTACCTATTTTCTAGGTTTAGACAAATGTTCTTGTTTTTCTGTCTCTCACTAGCATTTATTAGACTGATTCTGTTTCTAGAATTGGCCCTTTGCCTATTTTCTCTCCAAATATGTTCAAAGAACACATTCCCTGTGTGTGGCCTGACTACACCACCTTTATAGGTAATCTGTCCACACACAATCTTCTTTCGTTGGTCTTGGTGAACCAGTCAAGGACAAAATTAGGATTCCTTCCCCTTGGTCACTGATGAACCTGCTCCCCCAAAAAGTTTAGTCTTAAAAGCATTCTAAGCTCAGCTTTATGAAAGGTTCTCAATTGAAACTACATTAATAAATTGTTTGGTGGCCCTGAAAATCTTTAGTAAGATTCTAAATCAATATGGAATGCTGGGCATAAAAGGAAAATGGGAAATATGAGATTATTCACTTTGTCTTGAAATTCTTCCCTCTATCCTCTACTTAAAGTTTGCATTCCTTTCTAACAAGCTATGTAGATCTCCAATGCCAGAAGCATGACAGAGCTTAAGATGCAAAGGAAAAATGTGGGGGGGACATGTCAGCACAACTCTTCTGTCCTATTTGGAGGCAAATGCAATTCATTTTTAAATACATTGAGTGTGTAGGGCTAGGTGGTGAGACCGATAAAGGAGGAGGGAGATAACATATAATAAGTATATAGGAGGGAGATAACATATAATAAGTATCAGATACTTAGTTATGTTTGCATTTTGTTAAAGAGATTTAATGGTTCTTTCTGCATTATTGGAAATTACTGGAAAGTTTAAGATTAGAAAATGGGCTTTTTCTCAGAAATTTCCTCAGAAGCAGTGGGGTTGGCTGGCTGTGCATGTCCAGTGTTTCTAATTAGCCTAAAACTTTTTTTTTCCATTTTGATTGTGTGCAGTACTGTTCACATAATAGCACAACTCATACATTTAACCAAATCACACTGTGCTCTCAAGCTTTATCTCTGGAGCTTCTTAGGAGGATTTGTTTCCAAACCTCACCCATGGAGACACTAGAATGATGCAGCCTTGATTTTTATATGCAATATTAACTCTGATTCCATTGCTTTTAGAATGTCATCATTTTGCAGCCTAGTATGCAATATGCATACAAAAGTTGAGCTAGAATTTAAAAGTTTGCTTCTAACTTTAACTACCCTTTCAGGGCATGAGCTATGAAGAATAATTCAGCATACTGATGGTAAATGGTAAAGTAGCACCTGCATTTTTATTAAGCAAGAAGTCTCTGTTTACATAATCCTATATAATAAACTCTGTTAATATATATAGTGAAAATCAAAAACACAATGCTCAGCCTTGTTCTAATTATTGAGAAATGAGGTCAGTAACACATTTCACATTTTTTCTATCTCAATATTATTTTGAGACACTTAATATTTTAATAATATTATCAAGGTGTTTCAGGAATTCAGAGTTAAACTGATAACCCTAGGAGAGAGCAACTCTGTGACAAGCTGAGCTGTGCTGCTTAAAGAGGAGTAGTGGCTAACTAAGCCCTGAATGAGTAAACTAAGAACAGAGCACAGAGGATGTTCTTGTCCTGCTCCCCAGTCATTTGTTTCTTGAAAAATTGATTTTCATAAAAGTATCTATTTCTGCTTTCTCAGATAACTTCAGGGCCAATAGCGCTATTGTTCACTTCTGGATTCTACCAGCTAAATCTCACAACAGAGATTCTGTATTCCATGGTGCTTCTTTAACTGTCACTGCAGAGCATTCCATGTTAAAAGGACTTACTTTAATACATTGGCTATCCCTTAATTCTCATGCCTTGGTTCATCTGTGCCACACAGATAGCACTAGCCCATGAATCTGGACTGAGCATGTCACAATGGTTCTTCCTGAGTTGGAATCATCAGAATCAGTATGGTTCCAGCCATACTGATTTTTAAACAATTGTATAATTCTAGACTCTGTGGCTTGAAAAGAAGCAACTGTAATAGAGAAACAAAGACAGTCTTGTGACCCCAGGGTAAGTGTGCTCAGCCTGTTTATTCAGTATCTCTATAGAATACTTGGCCATATCCCAGATAAAGACTCAGCCACTTTTTGGGGACTAGAAGGTGTCTTTTCATGAAACTTCATACTAGTGTTGGCCAAAATGCTGTATGCCCATCTTAACTCCCATCAGAAACAGAAGGACTCTCCCCTCTCCACAGCCTCATAAGAGTATTGCACTTCAAATTGTTTGTCCACCCGAGTGTGAAATGATATTTCACTGCTATTTTTTTCACTGAGTGGAATCAACCATCTGATTTTGTGTTTATGGATTTCTTCTCTATGAGGATACTAAACTTTTGTTATTTTTTTCTGATATTAATTTTTCCTTAATTATTTGTAGTACTTATCCTATGTACATGTCAGTGTATTAATTCCTTATGAGATGTACTATAGGGACATTTGAAAATTTGAAACTAAATATTTGTTTGTTTGTTTTGGGGGGATGGGTGTGCATGTGTGGTGGCTGCATGTGCATATGGAGGTTAAAGGACAGCTTGCAGGAGTCACTCTCTCCTTTTACCTTGTGGATCCCAGGGATCTAACCTAGACCATGTCAGGTTTAGTAGTAGGTGCATTTAGCCACTAAGTCTTCTCACCAGCCTGAAAGTAGGGGAAAAATTGATGAATCTAAGTAGTACTTACAGTTGTGTGTAAATCCATAAACTTGGTAGTAAGTCATGATATGTCAGCTTAACCATCAAATATGGTGGAATTATTGTAAGTCAGAACATTCTGCCTAAGAAAGACAGTGGAGTTTTGATTTTTTTTAAGAAAAATGCTCATGTCTAAATGTCAAATCCATATAAAAATATTCTCATACCCAAGGAGGTCAATTTCTGTTTTATAGATTCTTCAGTCACATGCAAACATCCCCAACAAAGAGATAAGTAAAATAGTGTAATTTTAATGTATTTGTTTTGGAAATGCAGGTTTTTAAAATTTATTCTGAATTGCCATGTGATAATTCCACATCTTGGTGGGGCACAGTGTGGTGCTCTGATACCATTCATTGCACATTGACCTAATGAATATGGTTAGAATGTCATTGAGTTCAGTTTTAACTCATAGTTATAACAATACAGCTGAATACTCTTCAAATTCTTTCCTTCTAAATACATTTCAAAAACTAACATGTGAAACTCAAATGGCATAGAGAACCAATCATAATAATTTTTCCACAGAAGGAAAATCACCCTATGCATGCTTTGGTCTTGATAGTTTATATTTTAAGTTTACTCCTTTCTCTGTAGCTCTCCCACTCCTTAAAAAAAAATCATTTGACTTTTTCAGGTAGAAGTGTGCTTCTCTAGCTAGGAATGTTTTATCTGGTGTATTCTGATGCTAAACAGTAAAGTAATTTAGCAGAGTTTCTCACACCAGGGATAAAAATTAAGGTTAAAATATCCAAGAGGGTGAAAATGAGCATAAAGATGAATGAGGCATGGAAGCCCACAAATGGAAGTAAATGAATGATATTTCTATTTTATTGTCCTCATAAATAAAAAAGAATTGTACTTTTGAACTGATTGTTATGAGATAACAGTTGAGAAACTGAATTATGATTTTTGAGAATCAGTTAAGGACCATACTAGTCCCTTAAAATGTTTCAGGTATTCTAATTCTAATGAGTTTTCTTTTTGCTGACCTCAGGTTTGGTGTGTGTGTGCATGTGTGTGTGTGTGTGTGTGTGTGTGTGTGTGTGTGTGTGTGTGTGTGTGTGTGTGTGTGTGTGTGTGTGTACACAAGCTGCATGCACAGATGTCAGTGAAAAGATGGTGGTTTCATCATTTTACAAGCCTACACACGCATCACCTTTCACATCAAGGTGATCTTGTTAAAATAGGGCAAATTATCTTTGAGCCTGGTGGTCTTCTCTTTCTATAGGTCTTTCTGATGAATTACCCAAGCTTTTCCTTTTGTTCTCTTTTATGGCCCTTCCAGAAGACCGTCCTTCCCTATCCTACCTATTTCTTAGCTCCTGTATTCCTGAAAAAGGGAGTCTGGATCAGCTTATTTACAGACAAAGAAGCATTAAGTTTAAAAGGCTCAGAAAAACACAGCAAAGACTGTACAATTGGTATCTAGCAGAAGTGGAACTCAATTCAGCATAAACATACACTCTATACCCTTCCACACCACCTGGGTGGGCATGATACAGTTTCTTCTTTGCACGAAGTAACAGTTTGTTCCTTTTTGCTGAGGTAAATGACACAAAGGCCACAAATTATACTCATTCAAAATAGTTCAAAAAGACTTATCCCGGGTGAGGGACAGGGAGAGAAAAACTCCTAACCTGCTGCCTTTTCCTTCGTTTGCCTAGTGATGCCACGCTTTGCTGAGCAAGTTGAGGTTGCCATCGAAGCCCTGAGTGCCAACATCCCTCAACCATTTGAGGAGAATGAGTTCATTGATGCCTCTCGTCTGGTGTATGACGGAGTTCGGGACATCAGAAAGGCTGTGCTGATGATTAGGGTATGTGGAGTCTCTACAACCCAAAACTTCTAATAAGGTCCCTGAAGAATTCACTCTTCATTTTTTAATGACTCGTTATAATCTAGTAAGATGTGCTTTTCTTTTACAGCCGGACCAGTTGACTTTTTACTTACAAAGGGTCAATTCCCAACAAACCCAGATTAGTTCTGAATATCCTAAAGTACAATGTCCTGCCTGCTTCTGACATACATTTTTCCTAATTTTCTAGTGGATTTAGTGGAATTGCTGCTATTTTCGGTTTGTGTCCCTCTGCAGACACTCTCCTCTTACCAGGATTACCAAAGACTCATGGGCTGTAAAGAAGTGAAGATTTTTCAACTTGATAGTGGGACTGTAATAGTAATATTATTATAGTTCATTTTAAACAAGGCAAGATACTCATATGAAACTTCCTCCTATCACTACTTCATTAGCTCCTCAACATCATATTTCTGTGTCAAAGAGGAGTGATGTCTCTGAAGTATTGCCTAAATACTGACATGTATATCAGGTCTAGATTATAAATGTTCTTAAACTAATATTGTATTTGTTGTAGCTTGTTCATCCAAAATATGTCTTATTCTATCTCTAAAAATCATGGCTTACTTCATATGATTTAGCTGCTGTATGGTATTCCATTGCAGCCTTTATTATTATTAGTTGTTGTTGTTCACTTCCAACCTTACTAGGAGCTTCAGATAGTGGTGTTCAAGCAATTACCTTTGCCTAAGCTCTCTTCAAATAAACTACACATGGAAAAGCATAATTGATAACAGATTTCAGCATTAATTCCAGAACGTGATGACCAATGTAAATATAATGGGAACCACATTTTTAATCTAAAACTTTAATACATATACTATACATATACTAAAAAGCAAACAAACACATGAAATTAATTGTAATTATAGCACATTTTACTTACCCAAGAATATTTCTGGTGTTATCATTGTAGCATGATGCACTAGCTACATTTAAAGCACTCAGTAGCTCTACAGAAATGGTAGCTGGTCCACTGCATGGCATAGTCCTAGATCATTAAGCACAACCCCACAGTTTTCCCTGGAACTTACTGATAAAACTACTGAGTGTACCTAGGATATTTTCTATCCTGGTAATCATTGACAGTCTAAACTACCACCTCCTTCAAAAACAAACTGACACTGCAACCCCCTGGTATGTGTTCTTTGGGGGATCGCAGGATCCCAAAATCCTGATATTCATGATATATGGATTTTTTTCCTTATCCTCATAATAAATAGATAAATCTAGAAGACAACTACACATCATTCTTCCCATTCAAAGAAGTTCTAGAACCATTCTCAACACTGAATTAGTGAATACTGAATTAATGTTCTCAGGATGAAATGAAGAGTTAGATTTCTTTGATCCTCTGGTCATTTTTTCCTCAAATGATCAATACACAATCTTTTCTTCATATGTGTTTTAGTGTAAAGACAATTTGTTTCAAATATATTGTTGAGGTGTTAGTATCAAACTCACAGACACCTGTATTAACTGGTTCTAGAACAGAATTTATCTGACACACACATTTTCTCTGCGAGGCACATTGCAGACTACCTGACACAGAAACATTCAAAAAACAATTTACCACTACTGTTGGCAGCATCTGACAACCATTCAGCACTGCTTTCAAATGCCATTTTAAGCAGAGAAATCATTACCCCCAAACACATTAAAAATGTGGCACTAAATAAGCCAGGAAAAGGACATTTATTTATAATATGTTCAAAGAAGCAGACAGAGCCCTGTCATGTTTGAAGGGAATATTCACTAAGATGGCTTCTTGTGCACTCTCTGGTGTTTGGGAATAATTACAGGTTATTGATTTTGGAGATAACATCACAAATAAATTTTGGTGAAGAGAAAGATTCATAGATAAGGACTCTGTAAGTATAAACTTAAGATATACACCTAGTATTGGAAATTAAGATAAGCATAATAGATAAGGTAGTATCTTAGTGTCCAGACACGTACTTTTGATAAAACAGTAGTAGTTCCTCATAATAACTTCACATTAAATGTTTACAGTTGCTATCATTTCATTTGGTTATTTATGCATGAGGCTTTTAAAGGCAGGGCATGAAATAGTAGGACTTGGGATAGAATTTGGATCAAGGTCTGTAGTTCAGTGCCAGTTCTGCCTAACTGTTGTACCAAAATGCATTGGATCACTCTAAGTTATTTTAGAATTTTAAGGATAATACAAACATCTCTTAAATTTACATGAAATGTTAGCTAGAATTTTACCGTTTAAGCATTAGGTTGGCACCTGTGTGGTGATGACATGATATGTTAATGAAGCTGGTTATGTGGTTATCAGCAAAATAAAAACCATCTCCAGAATTGATGAGGTCCATTTGGATTCCAAGATTTAAGAAGCAGTACAATATTAGTTAGATCACAAAAATTGGATTAGTTAATTGGGCTAAATTGCTTACTCAACCGAACTGGTAAGGATTTTTATTCCTTATTTTTTTAGACTAGAGGTGCTATGAAAACATCACTGAGACACAAGAATGCTGTTGAAACAGTGAAGTCTGAAATTTACCACTTAACTAATTGGGGTCATCAGCATGCTGAATACCTTCTCAGACAATTCAGATTCCTTATGTGCAAATAGAGAAAATATTACTACTTCTAAAATAAAGAACTCTTATAGACCTAGAACTTAGTAGGTTCTCAAGAAATATTTCTTTCTCTCATTCTGCTCAGATGAGATTTACTATTTGTAATAATCAACTAAGCAGAGAATTTGCTAATGAAGTCAACAAAATTGAAATTTCAGCAAAGTAAAAATATTTCTCATAACTAGCAAATGAAAGACTGAAACTACTTGTGTGACAAATTTTCCTTTGTTACCGTGCTCACCTTGAGTCCTACCCCCTGCTTACCCTTTCATTGTATCATATTTGGCATCGCATAGATTTATTTATTCTCTCATATATAAATTCCATGAAGACAGGGAATTTTGCCCACTTTTTCCACCTCCTGTTTGGTTCTTTGTTTTCTTAACTTCATTAATGAGAAACAATTTATTATGATTCTTTTAGAAGGTTCTAATTCAATCTTTGTCATTCAAATATTAAATATTTGTTGGGTCCCATATTGCTAGATCTGTCCTGTATACAGGAGGTGGAAAAAGTGAACAAAATTCCCTATCTTCATGGAATTTATATGAGAGAGAATAAATAAATACATGAAATGCCAAATATGGTAAAATGAAAGAAACAAGACAGTTATTATATGCAGTTAGCAAACTACACAAGCACAGAAATATTTATGTGACCAGCTTGTATGGCTCTGATCCTATTTAAAAGGCATGAAATATTTCAGACTTATCCATTTACCTGTGGTGTTTGTGACAGTTAAAAGCATGGATTCTGGAAACTTCAATCTGTTCCTTAGTTCCACCAGTCACTAAAAGTGACACCTTGAAATTTTGCTTAAAGATTGTTCTAGTTTAATTTCTGTTCCCGTGATAAAATATCTTGACAAAAAGCAACTTAGGGGGAAAAGGAATGTTTTTGAGGGCCTGCAATTCCAGGTTATAGCCTATCACTAAAGGGAAGTCAAGTCAGAAGTTCAAATAGCTAGTCACATCCACAGTCAAGATCAAAGAGAAATTATTCAGGCTTATTAGCTTTCAGCTAACTTTCTCCTCTCTTAAACTATTCAGGATCCCCTGCCTCAGGACCCTGCGTTGTCTTCAACACCCAACAGGAAAGTATAACCAAAGATTAAAATGATTAGTTTATTTCTTTAAGAGTTCAAAGGAATTGCACTTCTCAGACATTAGGCTTAAGTTCATATAAGATGTTATTTAGACAATATTTCTCATTGATGATTTTGTTTCTAATAAGAAAATACTCAGGCTGGAGAGCTGGCTCAGCAGTTAAGAGCACTGACTGCTCTTGCAGAAGACCTGGGTTTGATTCCCAACACCCACATGGCAGCTACGAACCATCCTTAACTCCAGTTCCAGGGGAATCCGAAGCTCTCTTCTGACCTCTGCAGCATCGCATGACACGGGTGCCCTCACACACATGCAGGCAGTATACTCATACACATAAAATAAAAATAATAAATAAAATATTAAAAAAAGAAAATGCTGCCTCAGATGGTAGATGGTCCTATTTACAATGGTCTGTGTCTTCCTACATCAATTAACAATCAAGACAATCCCCTACATATATACCCATAGGACAAATTGATGCAGATAAATTTCTATTTAGACTCTCATCTCATTTGATTCCAGGTTGGGTCAAGTTGACTGTTAAAACTAACTAGCACAAAGACTCTGAGGCTGTTCATAACATCTATAAGATAGGGATCAAATATATTTCATTAAGTCGTAAGGATTAAATCCTTCAGCTGACTAATTGTCCTTTACTGGGTGGTAAATGTTAGTATTATTAAGTGGTATGTTTTATTAAGTACACTAATTATCAAAATTTATGAATTTGTTCATTTTTATAACTTGCAAAGCATTTTCATATATATACATATGTTTAGGAAACAAGCAGGAAAAGTTGAAATTATAATATTCACTTTATGAGTAAACAGATATGGAAGCAACTGAGCTGAATGACTTTCAAAGACAGATAGCTTGTGAGTGGAAGACAAAATCAGGTGCCCTGGGCCTACTTCCACATTTTTAATTAAGAATGGAGGGGGGTCACTGGATGTATGTATTTCTATGGATGTGTGCCTCTGTGCATGCATGCCACTGGTAGTCAAATATTCATGTTATATTTTGAGATAGAGACTCTCACTGACTGGCCAGCAAGCCCCAGAAATCCTCTTGCCCCACATCCCCAATGCTGGGGTTATAAAATATACCACAGCACTCTGCTTGTTGTGTGGGTACTGGTGATCTAAACTAAGGTTATGTTGGTTCTGGTGTTCTAAATTATGGTTCTCAAGTTTGAGTGGAAAGCTCTTCACCAACTGAGCCATCTCTCCAGCTCTCCAGCTATTTTTTAATTTCATATTTTTTTCTTCATTTTGGTTCCTGGACTATCACTCATTTCCTTAAAGCTCATAGCATTACTCTTACATATCCAGGTTAGGTTTGTCATTGACTAATCTACTATTAAAAATGCCCAGATCCCTGCAATGTTTGGACACAGTAATATAGATTCTGCTATACTCTGCTGATTTGTTGTTTTTTCTCCAGTGAGATTTTTGACTTTATTTTTTCACTCCCTTTCAAGAACTTGTAATCTTGTCATCTCATGTGTCATCAGGATTTACCAACTTGCTATAATTGAACATAGCAATACAGTACATTCCAGAAGAGTGAAGAATCATCACAGAATATTACACCTGCCCACAGTAAACATATACAATTATTTAACCCAGGCTCTGTCTCTCTTAAACGCAATTTAACTTACAGAATGCAGGAAGAAAACTTCTTTCCCCCATCTTTTTACTATTGCTATTACACAAAGCTAAGTATCAATAGATAACTGAGTGTCAATAAGGTTGCTAGTGAAGGAGAAGGAAAACCAAGAGAGAGGTCCAAACATGGAAAATCACTAGGCAGAATGTGGTACTGGCATGAACAACCTCATTATGTGCCTGTCTGATTCATCTCAAGGTTTCATCAATAGCCAAACCTGATACTTACACCAAGGGTGCCAAAGGAGTCAAAACAATGAAAGTGGACCCTCTTGGAGGTCAAATGGGCATCTGTATCATCAGTACTGTTGATGCTCTAGTTTTCTTTTTGAAATATCACTTTGGGAGGGGTTCCTGCTGTGTGCCCAGAGGTAAATTGCATAGGACAGGTGAACTGAGCCTTCCCACCAATGTCCTCTCATCTTGTGCATCATCCTAATCACCTCCTGAGTGGATCACCTTAAGAGTTGGCATTACATGAGAATGTCTAGGGAATGTGCTTAAAATTGCCTATTTATGAGGCTTGAAGCAAGCTTAATTCTTCTCATATTTCAGTTTCCTACCCACACAAGGGAAAAATCTGTCCAAGCAAAGGAGTATTAAGAAACCTTCCTGAGTTTGTGTGGCACTTAGAGAAACAGTGAAGCCATTAATCAATGTTATCTAGAAGTAAGGAGGGGACGGGTTCTTATTGCTTGTGTTATGGATTTATCCTTATATTTCTCCAATACAGACTTTAATGATTGGGAAGGATCTTACTCTAACTCTATTCCTTTTAAGCCATTTTATTGTTCCAGGTCTTACCCAATTGATAATGTGAACAAAAATATAACAAAACCAAAGACTCTGGCAATTGGGGTTAGATACACTTTGTTGTTTAGGTCCAAATTCTGATTCTGTTAATAAATCAAGGACATAACATGGAGTATGGATGCTTTACTTCTTTCCTCATATGTAAATAGGGAATTATTCTCTTTTCACTGTGCTAGCCTGATCCAAATTGATATTATGCATAAAAGAATGATTTAGTCCTTAATGTGTAGTAATTGATAGATTTATATTAAAATGGTTAAATGGATTTGTTTTAAGATTCTAAGTAATAATAATGACAAGCAGTCTAAAGATGACTAATATATGCTAATCTGTATAGAGCCCATTGATATTCACAAAAATAGAAGTAGCCACTGTGAGCAGCACCAATTTACAGAGAAGGGAGCTAAAGCTCAGAGAGTTAAGACAGTTTGCTCAGGGTCACACAGTGGTTTTACTCAGGCAGTGTTGCTATACAGTCTAAACTGTAATCTCTTTATCTCATGCCTTAGCGACCAAGCACGATATCTCAGCAGGTCTAGTCATTGGCATAGAGATGACAAATCATTTTGCTTCTTGAGAACAGAAGAGCTGGAATAGAGGAAAAGTGGTATTACTGACAAAGCACAAGTATGAGTTTTGAGATGATGTTTAAGTTCTGTCAATAGACTTGGCTGGGTAGAAATAATCAAGTATACTCAGTATTGAAATTAGAAACCATATCATGTTAAAAGTCAAGCTTATACTAATTACATCTGTCAGAAGAAATAAAATGTATATTAGGGTAGTACAGTTGTCTTCCTTTTTTCTAGTACATACCCACCCATGTAGCCCTATTACGGGTAAGATTCTATAAGATTATAAGATTTTCCTTCAGGGATATTTAGACTTTGTATTCTTTTTCTTTTTCTTTTTCTTTTTTTTTTTTTTTTTTTTTTTTTTTTTTGAGGGGGTCCCC